TTAGTACTAAATTTTAAAAAATTTTAATTTTAATTTTTTTTAATTAAAAAAAATAAAAATAAAAAAAATAAAAAAAATCGGCGCCTAGGGGGCGCCTAGCGTGTTTTGCAACATTGAAATTAACAACTATTAAGGGTCAAATAGGCCATAGGACTGCACACAATAATACAATTAGACCACTGAACCTAAAAAAACAACAATTAGATCCCTAAACTAACCATTTTTTTTCAATTAGTCTAATTTGTAAGTTTTCTAGGTTGCTAGCAGGTCACTTTTAATTTAAAATATTTTTTAAAATATTTATTATTTAAAATAATTATTTAAAACTAAAAAAAAAAAAAAAAAAAAACAGATCGTCTCCGGCCATGGATTCGTCTCCATGGCCGGAGACGTCTTCGTCTCCACTGCCGGAGACGAAGAGACTCTTCGTCTCCGTAGCCGGAGACGAAGAAGTTATCTTCATCTCCGGCCATGGAGACGAAGATAACTTCTTCGTCTCCGGCTACGGAGACGAAGAGTCTCTTCGTCTCCGGCCGGCCAGAGACGAAGACGTCTCCGGCCCTGGAGACGAATCCATGGCCGGAGACGATCTGTTTCTCGTTTTTTTTTTTTTTTTAAAGTTTTAAATAATTATTTTAAATAATAAATATTTTTTAAAAATATTTTAAAATAAAAAATATATTTTAAATTAAAAGTGACCTGTTAGCAACCTAGAAAACTTACAAATTAGATTAATTGTAGAAAAATAGTTAGTTTAGGGATCTAATTGTTGCTTTTTTAGGTTCAGTGGCCTAATTGAATTACTGTGTGCAGTTCGATGGCCTATTTGACCCTTATTCCCTTATAATTTAGAAGAAAAACCAACATGAAGAACACGGTAATACTGATATTTATAGAGCTTAAATCGAAATCGCTTCGAAGATCTGAGGCCATCTTGGGTTGAATTTCAGCGAATGAACCAAGATTTTAGCGTAGAAGTTAGGACAATGATTGAGAGTGTTTGGTTTACAGGAATAAAATAACTGTAATAAAATTACACCCTTAAATTTCAGTGTTTGGTTTACAGGAATAAAATTATTGGGAATTTCAATTCCAATGTTCGATATGCATGGGAATTGAAAAGGAATAAGTAGTATAAGGTCCAAAATGTCCATTGTTGTCAGACATCAATTTTAGGTTAAAAAAAAAGGGACGGATAATTTTGTTTTATCATTATCTTTTTTTTCTTCCTAAAATCCATGGAATTAAAATTTCAAAGGGGGCATGGGATTTTTAATTCTATGAAAATGAGGGAATTGCAATTCCATGGAATTGCAATTACTTCCAACCAAACTAAGGAATTTAGCGGCCTTTGGAATTAGGTAGGAATTAAGTGGGAATGGAATTTAAATTCACTCCAACCAAACACCCTATAAATACATTAAATGAGCAAATACCAATTTCGATTCCACGAGTATTAGCAAAATATCAGTTTCGGTCTACATATTTAATTCCTACCAATTTTCATTCACGACTATTGTTTTAGTACCAATTTTCATCCACAATTATTGTTTTAGTGCCAAAATTCATCACGCCGATCACCCCTCGATTTAATACATGCCGAAATCTAAAAATCTTAAGAGTATTTTCATCATTTTTCAACATAAGATTCCAATTTGAGCATGAATAATAGATTTAAGCCTTACGATTGATCTCAATTAGCAGTTCTCCTCCCCCATCATACCTTAACGTAAGGAGGAGAACTACAAATTGATATTGATCTTAGGGTTTAAATCATTTTATTCATGCTCAAATTGGGATCTTAACTTAAAAATGACGAAAATATCCTTAATAATTTCATATTTCAACATGTCTTAAACGAAATAGTGGTCGGCATGATGAATTTTGGTACTAAAATAATAATTGTGAATGCAAATTGGTAAAAATTAAACATGTAGACTAAAATTGTCATTTTACAAATAATTTATCAAAATTGGTATTTACAGTGAATGTAATCTTGAGGATATAAATAGTTGAGAAAATTCAATTTAGTGTAAATGCTCTTAGAGATGGTGTATGTTTTTTTAGTTGTTGTCAAGCCATGTGGAAAATGTCAAATTGGTCCCCTAAGTCACACAGAAAGTGCAGTTTGATTCCCTAAATGAAAAAAAAAAAAAAAAAACTTCATTTAAATCCCTTAAACTTGTTAAAATGTTCAATTGGGTCTAAAATTACCTAATTAGTGTGTAATAAAATGTTATGTACAAAAAAATCTTCAAACAATGTGTAATAAAATTACAGAGTTTATTATTTCAAATTTATTATATTTTCAAGAACTATATTCTATATTGTGTATTCCATATACTATACGTATAGCCGTGCATCACACGGGTACAACTATTAGTATTTAATAATAATAATATAATATAATATAAGATAATATATAATATAATATAATAATAATAATAATATTTAAAAAAAATAAAAATAAAAAATAATGGGGAGCCGCTGTGCGACTCCCCTTTTGTAATTTTGTTTCCCCACTTATCCCACATCGGTGGGATAAGTGGGGGATGGAGCCTTGAGGCTCTATAAAAGGAGCCTCAAGGCTCCGTGTTTTTCTACGGCAATGCCTATGCCCATCAGCATGCGGATGGGCAGGCATAAACAAGTTAGATTTTTTTTTTCTTTTTATATAATTATAATTAAATAATTAAATAATAAACAATGACGGTGTTCTAGGCAATCTGCTGTACCAAGCCACCATTTAACCAAATGATTTTTTCAATGTTTTGACCTTGGTTAAAATGTTGAAATGATGAATTCGCCAAATTTTGATCTGTCATTTACTTACTATTTTCGCAGGATGCAGGGTAGAGTGACTTGTCTATTCCAACAGACGGGTCAGGTCGAAGCCCTCTCTCTCGAGTTTCCTCTCAACTATGTGTCACCTATAGTTGTTTATAGTTTTGTAGCTTCTCCATTGTTGAGGGGAGATCACGGAGTAAAGATGACGGAAACAATGATAAGGAAGAAGCCAGGCATGACCAACGTGAAGGACATGCCACTTCTACAAGACAGTTTTGTAGCTCCTCCATTGTTGATTATTGAGGGAGACCACGGAGCAAAGATGACGGAAACAATGATAAGGATTGTTGAGTAATTTGCATTGTGCTTTTAAGTAACAAAAAGTTAAATTGATATTAGATGATAGACAAAACTTAAATTTTAAGGGAATAGCTTTGATTATTATGGGTACTAGTAGTTGCCCCCGTGCGTTGCACGACCATGATATTATGATGCAATATATAAAGATTGTTATATTAAAGATATAGGCCCGTGCGTTGCACGACCATGATATTATGATGCAATATATAAAGATTGTTATATTAAAGATATAAGACCAATAAGGTTTTAGATGTAATAAATAGACAAAATATAATTTATCAGTTCCATAAACAAAACAATTATACATTATTAGACCAATATACAATTTAAGATTGAGTAGAGCTTGTAAAAAAAAAAAAAAAAACTTCTAAATTCTAAATTCTAAATTCTAAATTCCTAACCTATAGTAAAGCTTCTAAATTCTAAATTCCTAACCAAGCTTGTAAAAAAAAAAAAACTTTTAAATTCCTAACCTCATAGAATTTAAAGACAACATCTAATGTTTGGAGCCAAAATAGCTCTACTCACTAGTTGTCTTGTATCCATGTTTCCAGTACGGTATTTAGGAAAGTGCTGTCAACAATTTGTCTAATGGGATCGCCCTCATTTTCCAATACAAAGGAAGACGGTATAATTATATTGCAATCAACACCATTGTCTTCACCAAGTTTTCCATAACCTAAATCTGCAATCCACTTGAAAAAACTATCTAACTTCTCAACCTCATCTTCATTAGTAATACTTCGCAATCTTAAATTATTCTTTGTGACCGTCTTATTCAACTATCTATCTAACTTCCTTATGTCACCCATGCGATGCACAACAATATTATTATGGTGCAAGCTATAACACTTGTATAGGTTAAACATATAGTAAATAAAATGTTGAACATATAATAAATAGACAAAATATAATTAGGTAATTAGAATAATTTAGATTACTATTGAATCATTCTCGTTTTAAGTTATTTTGAATGACCATACTAACCCCAACGCACTTAGTCAATTGTTGATCTCATTCTTCGTGTCATAAATATATAATTGAGCAAATTTTGGTTTAGCGTCAGATTCTGGTAACAAACTCCCCATTTAGTGAAAAATTTGACCATGTAGTCTAAAAATTGGTGGTGCACTCCTATTGTTAATTGTTCCATCAATCTAGTACTGTATTCGTGCGATGCACGGCTATGTTGTTATGTTGCAATTATAAGACATGTAATATTGAACACATATTAAAGTCTTACGAAAGATAAGTCACCCGTGCGATGCACGGAGCTGAAATTGTAAATCCTTTAGTTAAGTTTATTTTTCAATAAAACTTAGTATGGACGAATTTGAAGTAATTATTCGTTAAAATTTTGTATGTTATTAAAAATTAATAGTGTTATTAAATTTTATATATACAAAGGGAATATGAAATTTATTATTTTATAAATTTTGGTTATTTAATAATTATGTTGATTAGCTATAATAAAATTATAAAATTATAAATTTTGGTTATTTAATAATTATGTTGATTAGCTATAATAAAATTATAAAATTATTATGATCATAAATATTTACTCTGAAAAAATACATTAGTGAGTTTGGTTGTCCATAGTATGTGGACTATCTCAAAGCTCTTTGAAAGTAAAATACTTTGTGTGTGTGTCTATATATATATATATGTATATATATATATATATATTTATTTATTAAGATTAGCTAAACCAACCCAATCAGCCCATTACTCCATTTATATATATATATATATATATATATATATATATACACAGCCCATAAAATAAACCCAAAACCTAAGCCCATACCAGACCCATTTAATGTCTGAACAAAAACCAACCCCAACCCTAGAAACCCAACACCCTTTCGCGTCTCCGCCCGAAACCCTCCTCCGTCGACACAAATAGAAACCAAGCCAACCCTTGCGCAACAAAACTAAATCCAAGCTATGCACGACGAAAAATTGTACCAGTATGGTTCTAATTACATCACTTCTAGCTCTTATATCCAGTAGAAACCTTAATCGAATCCTTTGTGGTGAAATGGCGCCACCAACAAAGTAGCTCTTGGACAGCAGCTCGTAAAACATCCTACTTTATCAGGTAATATTTATATTATTTTACATATTATAAATCTAATTTTACCAATTTTCTAATTTGGAGAAGTTGGTTCAGTCCTAATTTGAAATTTTTGTTTGTTCTATGCTTTAATGTCCAGATTGTTGTTTAAATTGTTAATCATAGATTTAAATACCTAAATGATTGTAACTATTTAATTACCATTTTGTAAAGTAATAGTTACTCTGATCTAGGCCATAACATTTTTATACACTTAGGCATTAAACTTGTAATTATCTTCAACTATTCAAAATATACTTCCATTTAATGATGCTGCAGGAAGTTGCAAATTTAAGCATTTGGGATAGCTTGATTCTGTACAAAGTAATAAATACTAGTTAAAGGTTAGATAAAAAAAACTATAAAAGCATATCTAAGCAACCAATCAGTGTAACATCTCTGTGAAATAAACATAAACCATATAAATGCATAGTAAAACACACATTATAAATTTAATAGTCTGAAAATTCATAATTTGACCTTGTGGAGTTCATTAATGTCATCATGGGCCCTAGTAATTGGAGCATTAATTGTATACCACATTTCAATATTTCCTTTTTGATTACCTTGATATCTGAGTCTATCATATGTTATGAAAATCGTGAGTTCTTAGTCCTATGTCAGTCTTGTCAGCCGCCTTAATCAAGAATCAAGCTTTTACTTGTATTTTGTAATAGTTGTTCTAGCTGAGTGTTCTTTCTTCATTATTTATGCCTCCTGGAGGTAGTCTAATTTTTCAGTTCTGTTTCAAACCATGTAAACAGGCTGAACTTGAGGCTGTGAAGGCCGAATATGCTAATGTTCAGCTTGAATGTAATGCTGCTGATGAACGCTCGAAGCTTTTGGCATCTGAAGTGATTGGTTTGGAAGAGAAGGTATTGAAAGAAAATTCCAGTATTCTCTGCCTCCTTTACTTAACATAAAATTTCAAGTAATGCAGAATTTAGGTGATATTATTGTGTTACCACTTCTTAAATATTTGATTCTTATCCATTTTTACGAAACAACTTTGGTTGTACATATTAAATTTTCATTCAAGAAGATACAATCTCTGCAGAAAAATGAATACATATCCATATGAATATGTGTTTTTGTAATTTGAGTAAAGAATGAATGTTGAAATGATCATTGAACTGCCTGCTTCTTGCTATCTTTTACACTATTCACAATCCACCTTTTCTGTTTCTTTTGTATTGATATGTTCTTAGACATGGAGTCATCATTAGTGTTGTCGAGTGACCAGAATGAATTTTCTTAACCTCTTAGTAACTTATATCTTTGATTTATATTATAGTATTTATTGTCACTTTTGTCCTTCTCTAATCCCTTTATTTGTCCTACTTCCAATGCCCCAAATGCACACATATCAAATTTCTAGAACTTTGTCATTGTAATATCTATTGATTTTTCTTTTACCTGAGGTCCCCCTTTGCTTATTTCTTCAATTCATTTTTTCCTTCTTCTTTCTCTTTCTTTAAGGTATGGATAGGATATGTACTTGTGTAATTAATGCTCTTCTTTCTTACTCTAACATGAGTTGTTATCTTAATGCTTTTGTAGGCACTTCGGCTGAGATCTAATGAACTTTAATTGGAGAAGGAGTTGGAAAAGAGAGAAGCTGAAGTTTCTTCTTTCAAGTATGGTCAAAGCTTGTCTCTCTCTGTGTATTTATTTCTCAATTGTCATTTCATTGTTTTGATCTGATTTTGTTCATTCCTTCCATTTACTTGTTTCCAACTTTTGGTTTGGTCTTTCCTCAATGGGCTGGCTCTGTCCCCAGAGGGGGGAGTTGGGGATTATATGATTTTTAGACTGTTTCTGGTTGTACAAGCTGTGATGCTATCTCTATCATGGGAAATAGTTCTGTGTCAGTAGGTCCCATTGAATGTTGTTGAAGATAAATTGGTGAGAGGATCTGTGCATTTTCAAGGAAGTGTGTCATGCCTGTAATTAATTTCACCAAGATAATTAATTCTAATATTTTGGTTAAAATGCCATAATTCACGAGTAAGAAGGGAAATCAAGCCATAAGCATTAGCTCCCCTGTTAATGTACCCGAAAAAAAAAGTCCATTCTTATAAAGAAAGTCTCTTATTTGAAAAGTGAAAGATTATAGGCTATTAGTCTTGTGACTGGTAAGTACAAATTTAACCAAAATGTTCCCTCTAAAGTTGATTCTCATCTGAGGTGCGACAGGACTGATGACGGTGAGTACTGTCTGCCATGGTTGCACCTCTCCCTCTCCTTCTCTCTTCAAACAGTGCTATCCCTATCTGCATCTGGTACTTACAATATGCATCCTATATTAAAATGTTAAATAATGAAGCAGATATTAGGTGAATGCAAGAGTTTGGCTGGTTTCCTATTATTTATGCTGTCTTACCTAAGTCATCTTTATAATTTTTTTGTTTTGGTCATCCAGAAAGAAAATCGTTAGCCCTGAAAAAGAACGTCAAGATTTGCAATCAACTGTTGATGCATTACAAGAAGGTAATCTATTGACTGATTATGCACCTGTTTCATTTACATTAGAACATAACTATTTAACATGATGCTAAGAGAAATGAGGCTTATATTATTTATGAGGGTTAAACTATACAAAGATAACTAAAATAGTTTTACAATTATCCACTTTCATTAATTCACTTATTCACCCGAATGTAATCCTATTACTTACTGGAGGAGTCGGTACAAGCAAACTGATTTTTCATTGTCCTGTGGTGTCTGCAAGTTGTGAGATGAAAAGTCAATAATGTTTTTTGCAATCAACCAAGTGCCAAATATATGTGATGTGTCTGTGTGTTGATATTTTATTTTCATTCTTACCAAAGGACATACTGCAGTCCAGGAAAATTGTTGTACAGAATTATATATTACCTGTTTTAGAAGAGTTCCACAGTTTGTAAAAAGAAGAGTTCCACACTTCCACAGTTCAGTGAAGTAGATCTCTAAGCAGCTTGAAGAAGTTTGTAATCAAAATAACCTGATGAAAATTCCGCTGACTTTTATTGTAATTTATAAGCAGTGTATCTTTTGCTTATTTGTAGTATTGAAATTGGTTAATTCAGAATGATCTGGGATGTACCGCTTTCCACCCTGGACCCTCTAAACATATTGTGTCTCTTTAAAAAGCTTGTGTATTTTCATTCAATGACTGTATCCTTCCTCAATTCTTGTGCAGAGAAGAAGCTATTGCTGTCAAAACTACGAAAAGCTTCTACTGGTGGCATGTTTGGTGATACTAGCAGGACTTCACCTAATAAAATAGATGTCTCAACGTCAACAGAGGATCTTGGTATGCAATTTGAAATGTCATTACATACTGTAGTGTATATTCTGCAAGTAACATCTTAAAGATCGGCACTTCTGTCGATTATGGAGTTTGCAAGGGGAAAAGGAAAGATGGAATGGCTTGCACACTAGTCATTAATAAGTATGTTGTCTCTTACGCTGTACTCTATACTCTAATACTCGTGTTTTCACAAATATGCATTTAGGAATGGTTCTACATCTCTAAGAGAGTTACAGTTCTCAGATGCCTAAAGTTATTGATTTTTGTATTTTAGGAATTGTAATCTCAGTTTTCTAAGTATATTTGCATTTTCTAGTGTAGTCAATAAATGTGTTGAGTTTTCCACCAAAGCATACTCTATTGTAGCAAAGATTCAGGCATATAATGTGTTATCCTCTTACCATCTAATTATGGGTATTCATCAACTTCTTGTAACAGAACTCATTTTGTACCTTTGCTTGCTTATGTAGAATCTTATATTCCATTGTTTCTTGATAAAATCAAGGGATGTTGTGTTGATTTTAGGAGTTGTATCTCTTTGTAATATGAGTTATCTCTCATTACTTGTGAAGTCATTTACACTTGCAGACGTAATGGTATATATTGCAGCTACCATAGACAGGTAATTTAAATAATGTTTACAATAGTCTCAATCAAAATAGACTAGTGCTATTTTCTAATGTTTGTTCTTTCAGAAAACATCAGAGAAGTACTCTGTCACAAGGACCGAACTCAAGGGAGGGTGGGTAACACTCTTGTCATTGCAATGAAAAAAAAAGTGCTTTGTTTTAGTCCCCCACCCCATTTCCATTTATTAAATGTCTTGTAATTTTTATTATCAGGAACCTAAGAACTGCTTTTAGGGGTCCTCTCAAATCAGAAGGAATCTATATGGTTGACCCTTTAGTTGACAAAACAAACTTAGCAAAGAACAAAGCAGTGAAATTATTTTCTGCAGAACAATTAAAAGAAGCTTTGAGGTTTGTTCAAAATTAGAAAATAAGGTAAAAAACTTGTAAAGGTAAACATAGTTCATAAAACGGAAAGTAGATGGAGGGGTCTGACTTGGGTGGAGCATCCTAAGGATGCTTGGGTGGAGCAGCCTCCTGATTGGAGGCGTCTGGTAGAGCAGCCTCCTGATTGGAGGCGTCTGGTAGAGCAGCCTCCCGATTTGAGCCGTCGGACATCCTTAGGGACGCGGCTTCCCTGCGCTGGGCGAGATCGGAGCAAGAATCCTTCAATGTAAGGGTTAGATCAGAAATATTTCTGATCACTGCATCCATTGAGGTGGTCAGAATCCGCACCTCGCTGTTCAGTCCTGCCACTTCAAAGATCAAATCTTTTTCGAATTTGACTTTGGCATTGAACTCCTCTAACATCTTGGTATGTTGATGAATGAAGGCAGTGTCAATAACCTGAGAAGGTGGTGGCACTGGGTCAGGGTCACTCACCAGGGGTTTAGGTAGATTTTCAAATGACAATGAAGGTTTGACCACTTCAGTGGATGATCCAAACCCCGGAGCTCAGACTACTGCTACTAGTACCGATGAGGTGATGAGGGGGCCATCAAAGACCAAGCTTCTTTAGTCCCACATTGGAAAGTGATCCTTCCGAAGTTTGAAAATCTACCAGGGGTTGAAAATCTACCTAAACCCCTGGTGAGTGACCCTGACCCAGTGCCACCACCTTCTCAAATTATTGATACTGCTTTCAGTAATTAACATACCAAGATGCTAGATGAATTCAATACCAAAGTCACATTCGGAAAAGATTTAATCTTTGAAGTGGCAGGACTGAACAGCGAGGTGCGGATTCTGACCACTTCAATGGACGCGGTAATCAGAAATATTTCTGATCTTACCCTTACTTTGAAGGATTCTTGCTCCGATCTTGCCAATCGCAGGGAAGCAGCGTCCCTAAGGATGTCAGACTCCTCCAATCAGGAGGCTGCTCTACCAGACTCCTCCAATCAGGAGGCTGCTCCACCCAAGCATCCTTAGGATGCTCCACCCAAATCAAACCCCTCCATCTACTTTCCGTTTTATGAACTATGTTTACCTTTACAAGTTTTTTACCTTGTTTTCTAATTTTGAACAAACCTCAAAGCTTCTTTTAATTGTTCTGCAGAAAATAATTTCACTGCTTTGTTCTTTGCTAAGTTTGTTTTGTCAGCTAAATGGTCAACCATATAGATTTCTTCTGATTTGAGAGGACCCCTAAAAGCAGTTCTTAGGTTCCTGATAATAAAAATTACAAGACATTTAATAAATGGAATTGGGGTGGGGGACTAAAACAAAGCACTTTATTTTTCATTGCAATGACAAGAGTTCATCCGATAGGTAATCTACAAAAAGGACCCCGGCAGGGAAAATCAGCAGACCACCTGGCGAGTGGGATGAGGGAGATGCCGGAGGGGTTTCCAAAACCCTATCTTCGAGTGAAAGGAGGAGATCCAAGTCTTCTTGATCCGACATTTTTTAGCTTTGAAATGAATGAGAAATTAGTAATCAGAGAGGAAAGGAATCTCGGAAGCTGGTTGCAGAATAGGGTTTATAGTGATGGCTCGGAGGGAGATTTGAAGTTTGGAGGGAAATTTTGAGGCAGTAAATAAATTTTGTTTCAGATTTGCGGTTAATTACACGCACTAAGTGGGCTTGGCCCAACATAGATTGTATGGATATTTCTTTTAAGAGCCAAGGCCCAATATTTAAAAACAAAAAGCACCAGCCCAACATAGATTGGATGGATTTTTCTTTCAAAAGCTAAGGCCCAATGTTATAAAAAAAAAAAAAAAAGAGAAAAGGGTCAAATAGGTCATCGAACTTTAGCTTAAAAGTCAATTAGGTCTCTAAATTTTTAAAGGTGTAATTACACCCATCAATAATTTATTTAAGTGCAATGAAGCCCAAAAACAGATTAATGACATGCTATGACGGGTCATTAGGGTTCAGGTCACCTTCCAAAAAAAAAATGACCGGAGAAATTTTCGACAAAAGAAGTGACTGGCGAAATTTTCGACAAATTTGGGTCGGTTGCTAGTCACATTTTTTTTGTTGGAAAATTCGCCAGAACGTGGCCTGAACTCTAATGACCTGTTATAGCAGGTCATTAACTTGTTTTTGGGCTTCATTGTACATAAATGAATTGTTGATGGGTGTAATTGCACCTTTAAAAAGTTTAAGGACCTAATTAACTTTTAAGTTAAAGTTCGAGGACCTATTTGACCATTTTCTCTAAAAAAAATAATAATAAATAAAAATACAAAAGTGATTAAGCTTGACGGGCAAAGTTTGAAAAACTGGTCAAGATAAAGAGCAGAATTCTAGGGAAAATACATGGACATAAAGCAATAGAAACCCAGAGAAAAATGGGCATCCACTAAACAGTAACAAGCAAACAATGTGTGGATGATCCGAAACATCTCAGGATGCATGCGTTCATGGTTCTTGATTAATCTTCTTCTATTATAAATAGATCAGAATCCCCATCAGCTCTATCAACATCGGCAATTAGTTCAATAAATTTAGGTAAAGCACTTCCTCCCCTTAGCTTCAATAAATATATTGTTTTTTAGTTTTTTTTTTTTATTATTATTAATTATTGTTTTTTAGTTTTTATTATTATTATTAATATTAATTATTAATTATTGTTTTTTAATTATTAATTATTGTTTTGTGTTGTTAATTGTATTTTTAATTTTTTTTATTAATTATTATTTTATTTGCAAATATGAATAGTAAAAGTTACTCCGTACATATTACTGTTTGTATATGAATTTATTGAAGTTAGTTACTGTTGAATCCCTAATTTTAATTTTTTAAATGTTTGCAGTAATGGATTTTGCCAAGACGACAACGGACGGTTGGGTCGAATGCATAAAGGTGAAAGATGACGTGATCCTTAAGATAACAGAGGACAAACGGGAGTTGAAGCGCGAAATAGGAAACACTTTGAAAGTCTTTGTCAAATGTCAGTCTACCCTCGATGACATCAAAAAGAGTTTGTCAGAGGTATTACTGTTTTTTTAAAGAATTTTGAAAATTAGTTTACAAATTAGTTTTTTTTTTTTGTTTTTTTTACAGATTCAATCCGATGGTTCTGAACTTCTTTTGAAGTTCAAAGATCTACCCATACCCCCGACGAGTGACCCAGTGCCACCTTCTCGGAACATTGATGCTGCGTTCATAGATCAACTAACTAAAATGAACGAGGAATTTAATACCAAAGTTAAATTTGAAAAGGCCTTACTCTTTGAAGTCAAAGGGTTGAACAAGGATGTGCTGATTCTCACCTCTTCCCTGAACGCGCTTATCGAAAACATTTCAGATTGTACGGTGACTTTGAAAGAATCTTGCTCCACCCTTGTCCAGCTCTGGGAAGCCGCCCTTAGGATGTCAGGCCCCTCCAATTAGGAGGCTTTACCTAGTTTACAAGTTTTAAGAACTGCTTTCCGTTTTTGAAATCTGATGTTTATCTTGTTTACAAGTTTTATGAACTACTTTCTCTTTTTGAAAGAAATCTGATGTTTACCTTGTTTTCCAGTATTCTACATTGCAAAACACATTGATTATGAATGATATTTTAAAAAAAAAAAAACTAGCCAAAAAGAAAAGCAAGATCAACTGACATTAATAATTAATTCCCCGTGATCAGGAGTGCTTGCCAGTCTCATAGCCTCTGCAAGTGAGTCATTACCTCCACAAGGCACATTTTCATCCCATAATCAAACAAGTTTTGAAAATTCCTCTATACTTTCACAGATCCATAACCTTTGCCTTGTCCGAGTAATAAAACAGTACGTCCTACAATAATACATGATAGTGGTCAAACAATATAGAACGGGACATATTCTAGTTAATATGATCACAAATTTCAATTGAAGCAGGCAAAGTACATGATTTTGTGGGTTGGGGTAATTTTTTAATGTTCCTTGAATGTGCGAGACTTTGGTTGTTAAGCCAGGGTGCCTGATTCAGTACAGTCTTAGATATTTTTATTTCTTAATTTCTCAATTTTCTAAGGTCGTTACCATTTTAATTATACATGATTTTGTGGGTTGGGGTAATTTTTTATTATTTGCACATCAACCCTGATTTGTAGTAAGAAGGTGCAGAACAACGTCACATGCATCTAATGTTGGCATTGGTTCAGGGGATTATGAAGAATTCGGTGAGCCAGCCACCTATAGATACTTCAGCTAAACAATGATGATGTCATATGCACTTTTTGCCTTTCATGAATGGCAGTGAGAAGCTTCCAAACAAAGGTCTTTTTGCCTTCTCTGATCATGTCATATACACTTTCATTCAAAACTTTCTTGATATTCAGCCTGAAACATATATTGCCTTTTTCATGAATGGCAGTGAGAAGCTTCCAAACCAAATTCCTTATCCTCTCTCTATAGCTCTAGTGCTATGTGGAGCTTTGTTTTTGGTTTTTGCTGGTGCCACGTTCTTTGAGCAAGTTTTGTAAATCACAAGAAGAAAAGGAACTTCTTTTGTCCAAGACAAGACATGCTTAAGGCAAAGACACTTAGAAATCGGGACACACACACACGAGAGAACGACTGTTGTTGTATCATACATGAAAAAGAAGTAACCATGTTAGAGGCAATTTAGGACATGTATACCTTCACACCCCCCAACTGTCTTTTCACACAGTTTATGTTTCTAATATCATTAATATGAGTTCCTTATTTTATTGAATGTTGGAAATGGGCTTATATTTGTTAGTTCATGTTCTGTTTGATGTTTTAGTTGATAACAAGGAAGCCAATTATTGTCTGTACTAAAGAACTAACAGCATATTTAGTTTATAAAATAGGTCAAAAATGGAATAACATTCTTAAGAATAATCCTATTCCATTGTTTGTTTTGATCTTTTTTTTTTTTTTTTTTTTTTTTTTTTGAGGAATAACATTCCTAAGAATGAGTTATTCCCTTCATAGAAACTTTCGGTATACTGTGCATGGCTCTTGCTTTATATCATTGACAAGCCAAGCTGAACTTTTAACACAAAGTGACAAAACAATTCAGAAATTTTTTGAACAGTATTCTTTTTCGGATGACGAGGAAAACCTACAACCACCCAAGAGTGCACAATACACAGGGTAAACCCCACCTGAGAACTATATTCTTGAATTGAGTTCAAAGGGAGAAAAGGTTTTATTAACAAGAATAATTAGAATCCAAGCCGTCAAGGACAAAAATTACAATTTCCTCATCATGGAAAACCATCAAGTCTGGTTTTGGATATGTTACTAGATTACTACAATTTCCTCATCATGGAAAACCATCAACTCACCTGCAGGCACAAGAGTTTATCCACTCTGATGATTTCACAGTGGACTACAGAACTAGTGGCTCACCATCAGCGTTCTATACTGGTCGCGGCAGAAACAATAGAGATCCGGGGTCGAGCGGGCGACAGTCTTCCGGTGGGCGTGGACGACAAGGTCGTGGCAGGGGCAACAATGGCCGAGGGCGCGGCGGCACACCCCGCTGCCAAATTTGCAGGTCACACGGCTATACGGCCGTGTATTGTTTTAAGAGATATGCTGATCATCCGCAGACTCACGCAGGTCACACCAATGTTGCGATTTTCAGAGATCCACAAGTAGCCGATGCATGGTACCCGGACACGGGCGCCTCGTCTCATGCGACCCCGGATGATCGGATGTTGCACCACTCCAAGGCTTACACCGGCGGAGACGTGCTCAAAGTCGGCAACGGCGCAGGTTTGGATGTTTCCCGTGTGGGTCATGCGGTTATCCCATCCCAGTTTAAAAGTTTAAAAATGTCAAATATTCTACATGTCCCAAATTTAACTTTACCGTTGCTATCCGTTTATCATTTTACTAACGAAAACAATGTGTATTTCGAGTTCATAAAAATTCGTTTCTTGTGAAGGATTGCAACACCTAAACGATTCTACTTAAAGGGTCAACTTCGGGCGGGTTGTACAAGCTGTTAGTCCCCGCAAACTCACTTTGCGTTCGTGTCCGCCCGAGCGTCGTCACAGGTGTGGCATCAACAGTTGGGTCACCCACATCATGAAGTTCTCCAACGTGTCTTAAAGAATTGTCAAGTTCTGCCTAATAAAGCTAGTTTGGCAAGAATGTGCATCGCGTGCCAACTCGAAAAATCAGCATGTTTTCCATAAGGAAGAAACCGGGCATGGCCAGTGTGAAGGACATGCCGCTTCTACAAGATGGACCTCCGCCCGGAGGTTTCGCGACGGTCAGGTTCGCCCGCCGAATTCCCAACACTGGTCCCAGCGCCATGGCCATTTTCCTCACTGCTTTAGGCACCTTCTCTTGGGGCATGTACCAGGTCGGCCAAGGCAACAAGAAGCGTAGGTACGGCGTGTGTATGTAAAGATCAGATCTTTGATTTGATCTGGATCGCGTTTAATTTGGATAGTGAAGATATTTATTGATATCATTTTTCAACTAGCGATTTTTTCAACATTGATCGATCTAGGCATCCGCCTAGGTGACTGGCCGCCTAGGCGCCTAATTCGGCCGAATTCGACCGAGTTAACTCATCCATTTCGATCGAGTTAACCCGATCGGCTCGACCTTGCTAATTTATTTCATGTGTTTGTGTGTTCGTGTGTGTGTGGGGAAGGGATCAGGATATATATATATATATATATATATATATATATATATATATATATATATATATATATATATATATATATATATATATATATATATATATATAAGGGATCAGGTGAGGGTGGTGCTTCTCGTGCGGTTGTGCGAGTGTACTCACATTAAGCATTACACTGGCGCACTTTAAGTATACAACAGACGTACATTAAACACACAAACAAAATACATTCAGAACACAAATTCACCCATCTTAAGCACAACCCTCACGCACTTTAAGCACAAAATTTACGCACCTTAAGCACAAAACTCACGCACCTTAAGTTTGAAGATCAAGCTAGCCACTTGAGTTTTAGAGGCTCTTTAGTGGAGTGTTACAATTGAAGAATTAGAGGACCATTCAGAGATATTGTACCCACACAACATTGATGATGTAACTTCTTGCAATTTGAAATACCAAAAAACAAAACATAGTACTTTAACTATTTTAACTTAGCTTGTAAAATATATATTTAGAGTCGATACATGATGGTGTTTAATAGCGAAAGAAAAATTTGCTACAAGGGGCATGTTTTTTCCTTTTGTTACCATTGGTATCAACTAATGGTAATGTCGGGGTTCCAAATCTTCAAGTGTCCATCTTTACAATAAACCATAACATCAAAATTCATGCCTCAAGCATGCTTAACAAAGAGACAATCACCAATACAAAGACCGGTTTGCTTATAAAATGTCTCCCATCCATTGTTAAAAAAGATGTTGTCCCCCTCCACACTTATATCAACCTTCCAATGGTGACTTGATGACATCCTCAGAGTTGCGCTCTTGCCGAACTCTAAGCCCAGCTTCTTAATGAAGCTTGGTGGGACCAACTTCAAAATTGGAAAAAAATGAAAAAGTTACTAACAATTCAATAAGTTAATTGTTTAATTTGCATTTACATTTTTTTTCATTGGCATGATAAAAACATAATGACACAAAGTAAAAAGCTAAACATTATAGATTATGCACAAATCAAAATTAGCCTAAAAGAAAAGATATTCGTTATAAAACACTAGTCGAGCAATAAAACTATCTCAATCAGAATAAATAATCACAATACAAATACAATGTAAAAGTGATTAACCCAATGTTCAAACTTTTCCTCTCCAAAATGCGGCCAAAACACCTTAAACCATTGCAAAAAAATAATAATAATAATAAAAAAAAAATCAATCTAGCATACCAAACCAAAATCACCTACAACTCTCCCTCAAAAATAAATTTCTCACCACTCCAAGCTATGCTAACCTAGCACTACACAACAACAACTTACAGTCCTTTCTACTGTTACAACTTCAACGTCATCTATGACCACTACTAGAACTACAAACCCAAAACTCACATCATTCAGCACTAAATCCTTCAACTTAAATGCTAATCGTATCATCATAGATCTACTATTTTAAAACCAAAATTGAGAGATCTACTACATCCATATTATAATTTAGTGAAATTTTGGTAAAATTTCTTTGATCCATCCTGATCACCACCAAATCTTCAACCCAAAATCGACATCAATTCAACACCACATCCTCCAACTTCAACCATACTCACCACTCCAAGCTATGCTAACCAAGCACTACACAACAATCACTTACAGTCCTTTCTACTGTTACAACTTCAACGTCATCTATGACCACTACTAGAACTACAACCCAAAACTCACATCTTTCAGCACTACATCCTTCAACTTCAATGTTAGTCGTATCATCTTAGATCTACTATTTTAAAACCAAAATTGAGAGATCTACTACATCAACATTATAATTTAATGGAATTTTGGTAAAATTTCTTTTTTCCACCCTGATCACCACCAAATCTTCAACCCAA